CCAATCTATTTGTAAAATTGCGTTACCTAGGTTTGAAGCATGCACTCGAATGGCTGCTCAGCGAAGTTACTTTTCCATTTTTATGGGCTGGCTTACTTACATATTGCGGGGCGTACTCCATGGTTTCGTCATCGTCATCGGCGACCACGACAGCCGCCCCGCCCCTAACCGCCCCGATGGGCGGGGGGCGTGTCCCCAGGCAGATCAAAGCGAGCAGGATGGGCGGCAAATGGGTCGTTATCTGCAAAAAGGCATTTAAGCGGAATATGAATGCGTTTTTATCAATCGAGCGCTTAATAAACGGAGCGATAAAACGAGTTAAGCAAACACACCGAACAGTTAATAAATTGCCTACAAAATCATTACGCGAGCCCAGAGGAAAAGGAGAGCCAAAAATTAATTGACTAACGATCCGAGGAACGTGTTCGGGGATTGGCCGGGATCCCGATCCCAGACCATGTCATACAGCGTTGTGACAGTTGTCAAATGGTAATGGCAAAATACACCTTGCATCTCGCAGTCCCAACTCCAAAATTAGCCAGACATACGGACGGACGGACAGACGGACGGACAGACGGACGGACGGACAGACAGTCATACGGACACCGGGCACATTTGTACCGAGCATATGACAGCAAATGCCTGTCCAGCGAAAAGTTTTGGAGATTGATGGCTTTGCTCAAGACCAGTAGCCCAACTGAGCCCCTATCTCGATTTGATTCGATTCGTTGGAAACGAAAAAACGGGTCTGACAGGATGGCGGGTACAATTCAATTTTCCCAATTGCAATTGCCCCGCATTTGTTTCTTTCCAAATTGCAAATATTTTTTGGACATTTTCAATTTTTGCTGCGAGCTGCGAATTGCGAGATTGGCATGTGTCGCTGCTTTGGGGAGGTTTCGCTTCGGGCTGCTTTAATTAGCACACAGACGATGGCCATTCAAATGGCTGCCAGCGAGATTTGTCAAGAATGGCACGATCGGCATGCCAGTGGAATCGAGGCGAAGTCCGTTTCGGCATAGCTGTCATAGTTAAATGAAGTGTGTACTAACAAATCAGCGGGCAACACGCACCAGTGTTCGGAAGTTGCATGTGAAGTCTGCACAATTACAAAAAATCTTCATCAGTTCATAACAACTTTTCTCTAGCTCCCCTTTTACTTTACGCAATTCAAAAGACCTTTGCCTTTGCTATTACCAATAAAGTGGAATATAACAGGAAAGCAAAATCAAGGTAACGAAGTATGGTCAATGCCATGAGGTATTTAGTTCTTAAGCGAAAATTATCATCGAGCTGAGAAAGTATGAAAACTATTTTTCCTTTGAACCAGCATGCTCTACTGTATAACTTCCACTAAAAATTTAAATTACGTTCACTGAAGTATGAAAACTAAAGACGACTTGTGAATCGTACAACAAAAGTAAAAACTTCTAATAGGAAATGGTTAGTATATCAACAAAGTCAATTTTTAAAGAGTTTTCAATAATAAAAAAAGGCTTCTATGGATGGTAGGATAAAAACACTTGATTTGGTATGCACATCGCAAAAACGAAGCTGTGAAAAGATTATTGTTAAAATAGAAACAGTTTCTGACTGATTTTATCATTTAGTTATTTCACTAGGATGTATAACTAATGGTCTTTAAAACTTCCTCATGGCGGACAAAAGAAGAATTTATTTGAATATAGCTCATAGCAAAATTGAACTAAATAGTTTTTATTGTTCAATGCGCAGGAGTTGGATTTGCATTCGTAGTTATTTTTTAGACTTTCACTCAAAGTGAAAGTTTGCATTTCCTAGCTTTCGCTCTCGATTTCCAATTGCCAAAAAACGTGGCTCAGCCGATGGCCAATGAATGGCTAGCCTTCACCCGCAGTCATTTTACTTAGCACTTACATAGAACCGCATGTCGCCTAAACAATCAATTCGAGTTATTCTGCGGAAAACGCGTCACAATTACACTGGCGTCTTAAAACGCTGACAAATCGCTCCTCTGCGATCCGCTGCCGTGGTCTCAATGTCAAGGACAAAAACGTAATTAAAGCGTTGGCGCGGCATTGCCAAAGTATTTATAGATGAAGACGAGGACCGGCACAAGGCACAGCACTTCGGTTTCGATTCGCTTCGTTTTCCCGGCGACAAGATTTTCCGGCTTCACCGGTTCCACTTCCAACGTCCAATGCCCAATATCCAATATCCAACGTCTAACATCCAACTTCCAAGTCGCCAGACGCAGCCAACTGCGATGAGCAGCACATCGCAGATTGCAGATTGCAGCTGCTTTGTCGCTTCCTAAGCTCGTCTAATTGACAATTATTTGCCGTCCGGGAGCTCCTCGTTCCGAAACCCGTTTGGGCCGCTGCCGCGATGCCGCCAAGCTATCTATCCATATCCATATATGCTGTACGAATATATATGTCCCATGCTCCCCGATTTGGGCGCCCCAACTTTTGGTTTCAGGCGCCGCCGAGCGGCAAGTAAAAGTCGTCGTCGACGCTTCGCTGCAGCTGTCTAATGGCATTATAAAATTTATACCTGCCAGCATTACGTTGCGACTTTACATAAATTAATGGCGATTTGCTCTGCGAGCTTGTCGTGTCTCCACTTCGCCAGTTAATCCTGGCAATCCGTATCAAAATCAAGTGCTCGCGACCAAACAAGCGGCGTAGCTGAAAATTTCGGAGCTTGGGAAAACTTCGTAGAGTCCAGTACATCAAATGGTAGGTCTACTCCTTACAACATTTTCCCATTTTTCTTCCGTATTTGTAGTATTCTCATAAGGGGTTTATGAACCTTTTATATTTGGTAAATTCCACATGAATTTATTGACGCAGTATATTATATATATATTTTATAATATAATATATAATATTTTATATTGTATGAGACAAGTGGAGTTTAAAATGGGGGTATGGGTTTGACTGTAAAAGTTGCCCTTCTGGATTCACGCTTATTTATTCCAAAAAAATTATACATATCGACAATACTAAAAAGGTTGCTTTAGTCAGGTAAGTTTGTTGCATTGGTAACTACTGTTGTGTTCAGATCGATTTCGTCGGGTCCATCAGCATCCGCATCCTGGTTGCTTAGTGCAGCTGCTTCACGCTCACGTAGCTGCTGGCGTGGCCTCCGTGTCCGTATCCGTATCCGCCGTGGTGCGCCACATCGAGACCGTAGCCGTAGTCGGAGCCGTAGGTATCGCCGTGTCCGTAGCCCTTGTGGTAGACCTGGGGGTGGTGGGCGTGGCCCAGCTTCTTGACCACGGCATTGAAGCCATTGTGGTCATCGGCGGTGTACTCCACCACTCGGGTGGTGCCATCGGATTCCTTGAGCGAGTAGCTGCCCTTCACCTTGTCGCCATCCCGCGTCTCCCACTGGCTCTTCTGGTCTCCGGTGTGGGCGTCCTTGACGCCGTAGTCGAAGTGGTACTTGGGGTAGTGGTGGGGCTCGTGCTTGTCGTATCCGTATCCGTAGCCCGAGTGGCCGAGGCTGGGATAGCCGTGTCCGTAGATGCCACCGTAGGCACTGACCACGTCGTGATCGTATCCGTAGCCCAGGCTCTTGTGGACGGGTCCTTCGTGCTTGGTCACCGAACTGTAGCTGGTGGCGTGTCCTCCATGGGGAGCTGCCCAACTGACTCCCACCAAGAGGGCAAATAACAGAGCTCCGCAAAAGGAATTCATATCGGTCGCGTAATCGCTGTTTTCCAATCGGAACTTTGATGATGTCTGCTGGTTCTTGGGGTGCTCACCCAGACTTTATATAGCCATCGAAGGCTCTGGGCAACCAACCATCGGGTGGTCATTCTCTTGGCCACACCATTCACCAATCGAGCTGGCTGATTTGCTAATTACCTCACTAATTTGTACTTATTATTATTGTTTCGGCCATTGAGCTCTATTGAAAATCGGCGCATTTTACTTAAAGCTCAATCCGTTACAATTAAATTCTGATAGTAATAATTAATTATATCAGACCCAAAAGGTTTTTGTTGGTTCGTTCGATGGGCTTGGTGTTTAGCCAAAGAGAAGGGAAAACTAAGGCAAGAACTTATTGCCTAATTTACCAATATTAGTTATGATTGGGAATGTGAGCGAATGAAGGCTGCAGCATTTGGTTGAAAGAAATAAGGAAATGCTGCGAAGAATTGCTGCCCACAGAATTGAAAATTACCCTTAAGTTTTGTGCTTAGAAACTCCTTATATAAATATCCACAGAACCCCAGTTTTTGGACCTGTTACTTGCAACATTTTAACTAAAGGGCTAAGGTGTTAATTAGCTAAGACTTTAGTGGCGTATATCGGGATGTGTAGAAATATTCTATACTACTTTTAGAACTTGAATTATTGGATCAGTTTTTAAATGAGTTTGTAATTCCTAACAATAAGTAAACAGTATCTGCAAGAAAACTAGCACTAGTTAAGTTCGTATATGCCTATATTTACACGCATTTCAAATTGCCAACCCAAAATTCGTTTAGCCTTGTAAATTATATGTATTGAAAAGTAATATAGACAAGTTAACACCAATTCGGAAGCTCTGGCTGCCCCACTGCAGACCCCCTGGGCAGAGCCTGCCCCCTTCCACGCCCCTTGCCGCACCGCCCGTCTCAAGGTCATTTGGAGTGAAGCAGGCCAAAAAGAGGGTCTAACAGAAGAAACGCAGCGAGGCGAGGCGAGGAGAGGAGAGGCGGCTATTGCCAAGTAATTTGAAAGCGGGCCACACTTGCTGATTGATTTCTAGGCAACAAAAACGAAAAGCATTGCGTTTTTCAAGCATTTGAGCGATGTTCACGCCCCGTTTAATGAAGTTGTTGTGGCTGGCAAGTTTTAATTTGCCAATCGAGCGCCCAAGATATGAATGCGAATGAGGAAAATGAAAATTTGCACAAAAATTCGAAGCATTTTTTATGCCGATTTTTGGGGCTCTTACTTTTTCTAGCCCATTTAGGCCCGAGTGTAAAATGTAATTAATCGATCCACAGAATGACCAGAAGTATAAAAGCATTGGGCATTGTCTGGTGAATATAACAGTTCCAATCGCGATTTAGGCCAAGCAAGTCAATCAGAAACCAGCGGAAATGGCCCACCAATTGACTATCCTTTGCTGCGCACTTTTGGCTGCGGCTGCTGCGAGCTACATCCCTCATGGCGGATACAACCACGAGCACGGAGTGGGCTACAGCATCCAGACGCACCACGAGGCGCCCAAGCAGTGGCAGGATCACCACCAGGCTCATCACCAATGGCTGGATGCCCCAAAGGCCCACTCTTGGGGCGCAGTTCAGGAGCACCACCACCAGCAGTGGGCTCCAGTCGAGGAGCCCAACCACCACCCCAAATACGAATTTAATTACGGCGTAAAGGACACCAAGACCGGAGACATCAAGCAGCAGTGGGAGACCCGCGATGGCGACAAGGTCAAGGGTGGCTACACCATGCAGGAGGCTGATGGACGCACCAGGATCATCGAGTACACCGCCGACGCCCACAACGGATTCCAGGCAACCGTGAAGCACGTGGGGCACGCCAGTCCCTTGGAGCACGGCCACGGATGGCATGGCCATGGACAGGAGTACGGACATGGGCATGGTCATGCCACAAGCTACGTGGATGTCAAGCAGGACACCAGTGGCAAGTGGCAGGACAAGAGCAACAAGTGGTGGTGAAGTAAGTCAGTAAAACTGACTGACTGCAAACGTTTCGGACCGACTTCATTATTGTAAATAATAACTGCGAAATTGTTAACTTAAATGGTAGCTAAATAAATCCAAGGCTACAAAACGAATTCCTTTACAGTAGTTCTTGGAACTTTAGTTACTTTAGTTACCTTAGTAACTTTTATAATTCTAAGATACTTTCGATGCGGCGGAAGTGGAGGCCTTGGTGTCCTGCAGTCGTTTGTATCCCTGATCACACAAGGTTGTCCGGAAGATCTTACGCATATCTTTTGTAAGGACTTTGAAGGTTTCGGCCTGTTCGCAAAAGTCACTCCAAAAGCTGTCCTCGGTGTCCGGGTTCTTGCCAAAGATTTTCTTGAAGTTAGCGTACAGCTCAGTGGCGTTCTGGCGGATGCTCATGTCGTCCTCGTTGAATTCTTTCACATCGCCCCCAAAGTCTCGAAGCACTCGCATCTTGTGGACACAGTCCGGATTACGAAGGAGCATCATTTTGGTAATTTTCAGCCTTTTCATCTTACAGAAAATCGCCCTGCATTTTTGGAGATCCCAAGACGTCAAACAGTGCTCCAGTTCACCGAAGAGATCGATGAAATCGCGTTCGGTGAGAAGAGATTTCTCGCGTTTTAACAGCTCCTTCTCAAATCTGTGCGCTTCGACCTCGGATATCAGTTTCCGGTCTGGGTTCTCTATTATTCTGCCTGGCATCTCATGCGCCTTCAGTCGACCACTCTCCAGATCCAGCTTTATCTGCTTGGCTTCCACCAGAGCCTTCTTCAGCCAAGTCTTCCTTGCGGCGGCGTTCCTTAGGTTCTTCGGCTTATTCCACTCGATGTCGATGCCCAGCGTCTTGGACACCGGAACGAATGCCATTAAAATATTTTTATTTTTCGGACCTCGCTTAGGCTTACGTGGCATTTCTGTTATTATTAGTCCGATGAAACTGACAAACAATTCCTGAAAAAACTCATTCACCGCCTACTTTTCGATTACATTGATAATGAGAGACTATATGTGAATACTCTAGATCAGTAAATCTTCTTTAGATAAGTTAGCTTAAATTAAACAGTTCTGCGTGTTTAACTACATTAAAATATGAGTATAATGAGTTCAAATGAGTAAATAAAACACATATATTATTTCCAAAATAATATCTTACGTTTTTTTTACGTAAGAATAGTTTCCCTTATATAAAATAAAGTAGGGGTATTCGTGTTAAAAACATTAAAAATCTACCTAACACTCTACTTCTACACCACAATGAGACCCCTAGCGGAAGTTTACAGAACTGCGAAGCGCACTGCTTGTCAGCAGGCCAAGCAGTTTATTCGAAATGCATTCGCGCCTTTTGATACAAATAAAAACAGCGAACTACCGCTCTACTGCAACAATTATTCTCGGAAAACTATTCAGTCCTATGAAGTTTTTTGTTTGACCACTTTAAAATAAGTGCCCTTAAAACAACCGCGAGTAAACTTTGTCATCTGGTCCACAGAATGATGGAGTGCTGTCCAATGTAAGCGAGAGCATCTTGCCCTCGTCATATAAATTCATCAATTAAACATTAATTTATGCCGTGAAGCAAAGTTTTGCGGTCCCATAAATCTGAGAGGGCTGCTTGCCCAGAACGCAATCGCCGGAGTCGGTGGAAAAGCGAGCTGAATGCCTGAGGTCAGCCATCCCGAGGTCCGAAATGATTGAAGTCCCCGCCCCGGGAAAATTCCACTTCCAATGCTCCGAGGATAAGACTGCCACCGAAATGTAAATGATGTTGAAACATTTATTGGTTACAGAGAGAAAATTTCGACGCCGTGATAGGCGACAAACTGTTGACAGTTTGGATCCCGATACGCCAGGGATATGCTCGGATTTATTTGCCGAGCCAGTGGTGCAGTGGTGCATGTGTGCGGAGAACGGGGCGGCGGGAAAGGGCAAATCCTTCTTTGGACCCTTGGCTCATAATTTGCAGCTGCTTTACACACCGTCGTCCAGTTGGGCCCTCCCTCCAATTTTTCGCCTTTATATGGTTTCATTAAAAATGCAAATGAGCACTGGAGATTGCAATCGCGGTCAGCAGCCAGGTGGGGTCAACACGAAAAAAAAAACTATAAACAGAAAGGAAAGCTCACACAAAGACCGAAACGCAGACGTGAAATTTATGCCAAGGGTTCAGGGAGCGGAATTTATTGTTTCCATCGAGTACATCGACTGGGAAACTGCTCTTGTCCCGATCTTAACTTTCTTCTTTTAAAAAGTCAAGCGGAAATTATATTTAGACTAATCAACCCAAAAATGGTTAAAACTTTCAGTAAAAAACGGGGTTTTTATCACTGTGCTCCACTAAGAACTGCTTTCCTAACAAAGGCTACATTTATAGTTATAGAAAATGAATAGGATTATTGATTAAATAATATATATTTCCAAATTGAATCAAGCATTTAAGCATGGGGATATGCAGTGAACTCAAAAACAACTAATTTTTAACTCCCAGTGAACAGGGATACTTCAGATTCGGCAGACGTGGATTTGGGTTCTTCCATCTAGCTCCAGTTTCTCGCTGTGCATCCCAATTGCATTCTTTTCGTAATATAGTACTGTTTCCCCTTTTGCAACTTTTTGTTGTCGCTTGGCCAAAGGCGTTCGCCAGACTCGGAATGGAAAAAACTGAAACTGAAACAGAGACGGAAAAGACAGAAAAGACGGAAAACCAGCTCGAAAGCCGAATTAAATCGTCGAAAGTTCAAAATGAATGAAAAGCAGCTAGCGACGAATAAATGAATGAAACGAAAATGAATCCCGAAGGGAGTATTTGGGGTGTCGGCGGAAAAGTGGCAGTGGAAAAGAGCAGCGCCTGGAAATACCGTTTCCCCCTTTGTGTCGCCTCCAGCCCTTAGTTTTCAGTTTTCAGTTTTCCGCCGACCATCCTGCCCTGTTGTTATGATAGGCGGGGCTTAGGAGTTCCGGGGTGCGGGAAAGTTTTGCCTGATTTCGGCGCCGCTCAAAGTATAATAATGTGACCCGGCGATCCCATAGTGCTGTCGTAGGTTTCAGGTTTTATTGCCAGCTCTGCGGGTCCTCAATGTAGAATTTCCGACGAGTTCTGCTAAAATGCGTTCAGCATTTACTATATGATCTAATGTTTTCACGATTGTTAATGTTATAAAACGATCTTAGCTTGAGCTAGAAGTCTTAAGGAAGCTGTGATTTATATTATATATTACATTGCTGTTTGCAACTTGCAGTTACAGAAGTTTATAAGTGAGTGCAATTAGTATCGTATGAAAATTTCAGTAAGCTTTTCACCTGTGAAAATAAATATTTATAATAATAGCCCAATATAAATGAATATATATTTCATGTGCCCACGTCTGAGTTGTAGCACACCTTATGTAAATACTTCAATATATTTATTTTCGGCATCACTGCCGCCTTGCCGCTTGCCGCCAAGTAGGCGTGGTCAGGCGTGGCCCGGTGGAAAAGTGCATCATGGCGGCTAGCGCTGCTTCAAGTGCACACTTTCTCATGGCTTAGCACTTTGCAGCATGCCTCGTTGGCTTTTCCAGAGGAACGGAGAGGGGGTGGGGAGCGCGGCTTATGCAACAAATAATTTAATTTTATGCTGCATACAAAAAGGCGCAACCGGCGAACGAACGAACGAGCGGGGAGGCGAAACGACAACGGAAATGCCACTTTACGGCCTGTTTGACGGAAAAGTGGACGTTAAGTTGTGAATATGATGATGGAGATGAAGAAAGTTGATGATGATGAGCACGATTATGGCCACGGACGCAGCCGCCGGCTGGCCGAGAGCAACAAGCAGCGTTCTGAAATATGGCGCATTCGCCCCGTGGGACGAAAGGACGATGGGTTCGCAAAACGGCAACGAGGTCAGCCCATAAACTGGCCTAAATGTCACATCAACTGAAGACGTCCTGCGAGCGAACGGGAAGTGACATCAAAACGAAGGATTAGGACATAAAAGTGACCCCAGAGGATTCCATTAGTTTTTGCGCTCGATCTTCATACGAATTACTGCCTGGTAGAGGCTGTTTGTCGCTTGTGGACTTGGGGATAAGTTTATATAGTGCTCATCGCATAGTTTACATATAATTTACCTATAATTATATCCGCCCCTAAAACGACTAGGACTTTTTAAGTTACACTTTCTACATACACCCATTTACTCTCCCTTTTCTAGAAAACAAAAAACACACATATCACCGCTAATTGGTGATCCTTAGCCAGACTTTTGTGAATGCCTTTCCCCACGCAGAAGGCAACCACTTACCACTAACCCAGTACCCAGTACCCAGGACCAGGAGCCAGGACCACCCGCAGAAGCACCAGACTGCCCGGGATTTCACGCCCCTTTGGGCAGCAGACAAATATCTTAATAAAGCCGAGGTCGGCAATCAAATAGTTGAAGCGCAAAATATAAAACACAAAATATGATTAACATATCAAATCCAGCAGCAGCGTTTTGCCAACGCAGACACAAAAAAGGCTTTACATGATTGGGTTTTTACCAAATAAAAAGAAAAAGGCAAAGGCAAAGGATAACGAAGCGTGGAATTTGGGTATAAAAGGCCAAAACTGACCGCCTCATAAATTGCACAAACAACAGCAGCAATATTAATACGAAATTCAACGGACGAAACGGATCAACAAATGAGCAAATATCGAAACCTATAAAACCATTTAGCCAGATGAGCGTGAAATTCCGAGCATTTTTGGGGGATTTGTGATCCACTTTAAACGTGCCACATAGAAAGTGGGTGGGGTGGGGTGGTGTGGGCTTTGCAGCGAAGAATGGCCACAAATTTTGCAACAACTGTGCGGCATTTTATGAGTTTGCCACACCCACACACACACATACCCACACACACATGCTCCACAATGGCAGGCAGTCATGACACTTCTGGGCCAGCGTTAAATAACATTTAAACAGAGGCCCAGGACACGTACAAAGCGCAGGGGCGGCGGGGGGCGGCAGACGGAAGGATGTGGCCATGGATGTGGCGCAGAAGGATGCGGGTACACTGGGAAATGGCTTTCCTTTCGCAGCTCTAGGTGCATTTGTCAACTTACTACTCACTACTTTGTTATGTGAAGAAATATGAAGACACTGCTTGCTCTTAAGTAGTATCTAAATATAATATGAAATAATAAATCCGCCATAGGAAGTACCAGCAAGTGCCAACAGTTCGACCAGATATTTCTTCCGGTGTGCGGGCAAACATGACAGAAGAAGGCTTTGCCAAAGCAGCACCAGAAACATTGGCTACAGTTTTCGGCGGTTACCCTGGACTCCGGCGACCTCCCCCTGCTCCGGATGCGTGGCACTTTGGCCTGTCCAGCTGCTGGCCTGACTTGTCCTGGCTGCTTATGACGGCGGGAATTAAATTTCATTTAATGTGCCGAAACTTTCCGCATAGATATACACACACATGTGGCGGTGGCGATGGCGATGGCGGTGGCGTCTGTGGCATTTTATGATAACAAAACCAGGTCAAAGTGGACCTGCTGGTCAGCTGCCATTCCGCCACTCCCCTGCCACTTGGCGCTGCAGTCGAAAAAATATGATTATACTCCGCAATTAACCCAAAATTACACATATTTATGCACTGTGTCTGACGCAGATTTGGCTCGAAGGTCATCCTTGATGGCCATTAAAAATGGTTTAATTATAGGCCGAACAGATGTTGGTCGAAGACAGAAGAAAACTTTTGCTAATGGGAAAGCGTTAGCCTGGGCATGGAGTGCTCACACTTTTGGGGGGAAATTAGGGTTTTCCGATAAATCATTCCGTCATTTATATTGGTTTTAAATTGGATAGCCATTAATGGGTGGGAAAAAGTGGGGTACTTATAGTG